AAACAGTGATAAAACTGAGGCCATTGTCATCGGTTCCAAATACCTCCTCAAATCCAACACCAACATTAGTATTCTGTACCTAAATGACCATCCTATCTACCTTCAGCTCCCCAGTTAAAAACCTAGGCATTTTCATTAACCATACCCTCTCCTGGAATCACCATATTGCCCACATCTCTCGAGGTCAAATTGTACCGTTAAACTGTTCCATCGCTTCCACTATCTCCTACCCATACCCACAGGTAGACTCCTAGTATCCTCTCGCATCTTCCCCCACCTTGATTATGGCTGCGTGGTGTACGGAGGTCTCTCGATTGAACTCGGAGACAGACTAAAACGAATGAATAGCTTCGTAAGATTTGCCAAGGAAACCCCGAGACGTTCCCTTGTCTCCTACTACTACGCTGAGTTAGAGTGGCTCTTCACCTCCTTCAGAAGACAATACTTCCCAGGCACATTCCTTTACCAAATAATCAATAAACATCGCCTGTCCTATGTATACGATCTTAAGTCATCTATTCACGCCATCTCTACGAGATCTCGTCCTTCTGACCTTTACATCCCTTACCATAGATCTGCTTTATTTCAACACTCTTTTATTGTCCGTCCCACCACTTTTTGGAATTCTATCTCGCTTAAAATCCGTCATGCATCTTTATCCACATTTAAAACCCTTATTCCTCTCCACCATTCAATCAGAATGGCTAATTATAAATTATGTAACTAGGTTTTATTTATTTATACTTAATTTTTATATTTTTGTGAATTAGAAAAGATTCCGTATTACTTTAGACATACCATTGTTGAGAAGAAAGAAAAGATAGAAGAAATTGTTTGTTTTTATTTTTTAATAGTGTAGAGATGGTTGACCGTGATGATAAAATGAGAAGTTTGTCTGGAGATGCGGTCAAATGAATACTATTTTGATATATAGTATTCATTTGACCGCACCCGCGACCAACTCCTTCTCACGTTTTTATTATATATTTTTTTCTCCATTTACAAGATTCTATATTTTGGAGATGTATTTTATTTTTTAAATTCTCAACATTATTTTTATTTTTTAAGAATCGGAAAGATTTCATATCTTTTAGGACATAGAATTGTGATGAAAGAGAGAAGAATAAATTGTTTGTTTTTATTTATTCATTTTTTTTTATCTACAAGATTCTATGTACGAGCATTCATCCAAAGCCCTTAAGTAACATATACAAATAATTTATCTTCTTCAACTTGTTTTTTTTTTCTTTTTCTCGCTACAATGGTTTTCTCATAAAATTAATTTAATGTATCTTTCCAATTGTATTTATCTACTTATTGTTATTTTATTTCTCTTACGCCGCGATAGTGCAATATTGTGATCCCATTGCTCATCTGCTTTCATTGATATATCATTTAAGCTATATGTATATTTTTTACGTTTTGGATGTTTATGTCCTAGCATAAAAAGTCAATAATTTTTCTTTACTTAATTTTGATATTTTTTTTTCTAGAGGTTTTACTTTTTCTTTCTATATATGCAATGTTTTTGTTTATTAATTTTTTTTCCATTACTACTGTAAGTATTCTTGAGAAGATTTTATTTTATTTTTTAGTTGTTTACATACTATTATTTACTTCTCTTTACTTTATAGGCGTTCCATCTTAAGGGTTGCCTCACATAGTCAGCGCAGAGCTCCACGCGCTTCTATATCGCCAATCATCTTCCTCCAAACCTCGACCTGCCATTTCCTCCTGAACCCCCTCCATCCACCTGCTGCATGGTCCACGTTTCTGAGGTATATGCAAGAATAGCTGCCACTATTGCTGTGAAAGGTGAAAAGCTGTGTGTTCCAGAGAACTGGGTGTAGGATTCGGATAGCCTTACGGGCTTCCTCCACCTTCCTCCTAGCGTCATGCGCAGAAGACCCCGTAGCGTAGAGATAAGAGCACACGTACTTGAAAATCTTAACTTTTTTGTAGGACTCCTTGTCTACTAGACGTCCACTATTATTTAAATTATTGTATATATTGTTAGAATCTTTATTAGTTAGTTTTAGGCCAGATATGTATTTTTTCTTTTGTACTTTTTCATTACTGTTATTCTAAGGGAACATTGTTCCAGAATAAAGTTTATTTTTTATTTCTAAAATTTGCCAATATCCAAAGTTAAACGTTTGACTTCTCCTTTCCCTTCGTCACTACCGTACATTTATCAAGGCTCTTTGACGATCTTAAGATTATCACTCAGGTAAATAATATGGATTAAATTTCAAGCATTGACTTTCAACATGAGAAATTCGTTATCATTTTGTCAGCAATATTACGTCACTTTGTTAACTCATCGAGATTTATCTAACAATCTCAAAAACGATATTGCATTTTAAGATAAATCGCTAATTGGCAATCCCTTGTTGTTCCACGGATATTTTCTGTTAGCAGCTATGAATTATTTTTATTAAAGTTAATTTTCTTTCCTGGCTGAACTAGACAATTTTTTATCAGACGATTGGAACGAGTTTGTCATCCCATGAGTCCGTGATAAAAAGCCCTTTTCTTATCTCGCTATAATCTTCATAGTTTCCGTGATGATCAATACTGACATGAAATATACAGCAATTTAATAAAATGATCAAATAATCCATTACTTATTCCACAAAATTCCTATCAGCTAACTTGCTGAATTCAATGGATCCAAGTATTCAATTGGGTGGAGATGCTTATGAGGCCATTCCTGTCGCTCTAAGATATCTTCATGCCTGAAACGTCAGCCTATAGCCGCCAAAATAAAATCCCTTTTCTTTTAAAAAAGCCTTTTCCACATCTGTCTGTCTTAGGCTACTGTTTTTCAGTATTTGTTGATTCTATCTATTACTATATCCTATATTCTATATCTGCTTTTTGGCCTGCCACGTAGTTTTTCGCCAACTATTGTGACATTAATCGGTGTTTAGATAGATAGCTTCGAGCAACAAGTCCCGCCCATCTTAACCTCCTCGCCTTCATATAATGAACTAAATAACTCGAATTAATAATTGAAAAAATAAAAATTGCGCATCAACTATGAATTCTTGTCGACATAGGAAGAAAAATATGTGAAAAAAATGTATAAAACTTCTACCAAGCACAGCAGAAAAATAAAATATTTCTATTTGATAAAAATAATATTGTACGTTAATTTATTTTAATTAATTTACTTTATTTAATAACCAATGCTTTTCTAATGTTCACACATAAAATTATATTAATTTAATCTAAAATTAAATTATTTATTCATTTACATTCAAAATTATGTAAATTTATAAATAAAATCTTTATTATTATTATTATTTAAGTAATATTAACAATAATAAAATGTTGAACAAATGATAACAATGGAACATCCCATGATGTTTTTTTGCTTGCACTCAGGAACTAGATTTTTTTTGGAATGGTTTCGGTTTACGGGACTTTTTGTTGGAGGAACTCGAAATGTAAGTAACTGGTATCTCTACTGAAGTCAGTATGCTCCGATAACATGTCGATATAACTGTTACTATAATTTTCTTATCCAAAAACGGGATAACCTCTTCAAAATAATGCATTAAATATTCTACAAGTGTCTACTTGATCATGAAAACAACAAAGTATCTGTCAAACGAACCATTCAATTGGATGAAACGAGTAATTATAATACACAATTACTTTAATTGAATGCAGTGACCTATCACGGTCACCAAACATAAATAGACCCAGACGTTTGTACTGCCGACAAAATTCTTATCTCACTCAACATGCCAAAACCATCGAGGAAGTAATTACAAATCGAATCTAAGCATTATTACAAAGATCGATTATACAAAATTATTCGTTCATACTTATACGGAGGGGTTAATATTATATCTGTTTATTACAATTAATACTTCAGGAAGAAAAAGTATACCAAGTAATCATTGGTAGAAAGAACATCAACTTCCGGTCTAGTAGGTATTGAAAATAATAAAAAAATAATGTAATTAATCGAAAAAATTAAAATCTCAGTATATATAACTAACTGTTGACGTTATCTATTATTAAAATTTTAAGTCAAATAAGCTTCTGGTACAACATTCGTAGGAAGTGTTGCAACAGCATCACCGAAAGAATCGATCAGTCTTACAATTGAATGATTTAAACAAATCAATAAAAATTAAAATATTATTAAATTAATACGAATAAGATGTTTAAAGATACGTAACCTGAAAAATAAAATAAATTACAATAAAATTAACATGATAAATGGAGAAATCAAGAATCAGGTGAGCTGTCATCTGACGTAATTCGGCTTAGTGTTAGTTAAGATCAGCTCATGCAGCGGATGGATAACAATGTTCTTGGGAGGTTTTTATTTATATACAACAAAATTTATATTTTAAACGGAATTGTAAATACGAAACTATCAATGTTAAATATGATTTATGTACCAATTAAAAAAAAAATTGTAATTATATACTATCTATTTTCAGCGATTAATTATTAATATTTTAATATATGTTATCTGTTTTCAACGATCAATTTAGTAATATATGTTGAGCAACGTTCTGTATGGATGATGTGGGAGAGAAACCCGAAATAAGGTAAGCAATACGTAAACATGAATAAAAGAATTGACAAAGGAAGATACTTCATTCAGAATACGAACATACTAAATATAAATAAATTTACATAACAACATAAACATAAATGAAATAAATTATTTCATTGTCTAACGCTTAATTTATTTTTAACACTTTATTTCAAATATAACATGGTTACCAGATACTAACGGTTCTGAAATTTCATTTTTTGAGTTGAATTTTTTGTTTAAATGATAAAATATCGTGCAAGCTGACAATTTTATCTAGTTCAGAGACAAATGATCTCTAATAATTTCACAGGTGATCGAATAACAAAAAGAGTATGAAGAAGTGAACTATATATGAGAATTAATTGAATTTTAAATTAGATGATTAATATATTCCATCGTTAATTTTTAATAATATAAAATATAAAAGTATTCTTACCAATCAGATGAGCTTCAATGTCTTGTTTATATCTTCAGAGCCACTTTTACTGTTCTATAAAATGTAACAGAGGTTTATAAACGTTTCTTTCGAAATAAATTTGATGCGAAAGGACAGACTTGGTCAGAATCTCAATGTGTCAACTGATTTGTAATTTTTCAAACAAAGTTATTCAGTTACGAAATAGTTGAAAATGTTTGTGTTCGACCCAAACACCGGTTGGGAGGTAACTGGCGGAATCCTCGGTGGCTGTAGTTCAATAATGACACGCATGCGCCTTCTTGAGATCAGCTGATTCTCAGGTACACGAGGAATACAGTGCCACGAACTAGGTTACTTCCATCCACAAATTTGTGTCTGCTCCGTAACTCGGTTTTACTGAATTGTAAATAAATATGACAAAAAGGTAAAATAATATTAATAGGAAAAAAATAAGTCAGAAAAATGTTTGCACAGGATCAATTTGTTGCAACAAATTGCAACTTATGTCAACCCTTAAGTTTCTACATATACATAAAGGTAAGTCAAACGTACTACTTAAACAGTTTGCAACATTTCACTAATACGTTTTCTTAATTTAAAAAAAAAAAAAATCACGCTACTACGACTTTGCAGATTTCTATTTGACACTAATAATTTTAATTACAGTGTAATATATTCGAAAAATCTTTCCAAGTTGATGCCATATCAAAATTAATTAAGATTGAAATATAAATTATTGATATACTAAAATAAATGATTCGACTAACGAGAACTGCAAGGGTAGAATATAAATAGCACAGACACGACGACTGAGTTCGTAAGCACGCTACCTACTGCTAATCGATTGTTTATATCGAGTTTATTATAAATTACAGGTATGATCCAAACCATCTCTTATTTTTCTCTCTTGTATTCAAAACGAAATGACTCTTTTTAAACTTGAAAAAAGCAAGAATTCTGACACAACAATGTTTCATCTATTTAATATGTAGCTATATGGAAGAGTCTAATAAAATTATCAAATGGCACCACTAGCAGATCCAGGATTTAATTTTTGGGGGGAGAAGGGGTTCAGCCCGAAAGCTTTTTTTATCATATATATATATATCATATATACATATAACAATAATTAATTTGAAAAAAAGGAAATAAATTAACTACCTATATCAAATAGTTTTTAAGTGATTCTTGAAGTTCTATTAAATGTAATTACACGAACAATAATACTTTAAGACATAGTTTTTATTATTTTTTTCTATAAAACATGATTATATTTCACCATTTTTGGGGGCTTCAGCCCGAAAGCTCTCCCCTCTTCCTCCTCCCCCCGTAGATCCGACTGCGATAGGCACAAATCAGAGGATTTTGAGTTGTATTTATGTTAAGATAACAAGTTATAGTGCAGTTTCAGTAATTTTGGTTTTTTATTTTCAATAATCAACCATTATGATCGACCAAAAAATTCAAAAACTTAACCCGCTTTCAAAATTTGGGGTTTCACGTTTTGGGATGCGTAGAATTCAAAAAAACGAATAAAAATTTTTTTGTCAGTCCGCCATCCGCGCATTTTCTCCGACACTACTGGACCGAATTTTTTCTAATTTGGATATAAAATCAGAGGTCGCCCGAGGATGATCCTCCTTCATCGACATTACTATCCGCCTTTTACTTTTAAAATGGCGGAAAACCTGCGTTGCTATAGACTGTAATGCCTAAACGGATGTACCGATTTCAATGAAACTTCGCTAAATGGTTTAGTAAAAGTTTACGAAATTTCCTGAAAAACAAAAAAAAAATCGTTAAAATCGGACAATTAGGAGCAAAGATATGGTCTCCGTTTTTTTGTTTATATGTTCTACTCCAAATGTTATATCTTTTGTTTGGTTTTTAAATTTTGAATGTGTTACTGAAATAATGCTATTTTTTTTAGCATATTACTAATTATAAAAAAAAATTTAGTCCAATAATTGGAATCATCTTTTATTTATCTTTCTTTGTAATTAGGAAGGTAATGTTACTTTAGATGTATTATTGTTTGGAAATAATAAACCATTGTGAAATAATTCGCAGCGTTTTTTATTTGTGTATATTCAGAATTATTTCTTAATGTTAACGTTTTATTTTATTTATTTTTAAGGAAAATTTAAATTTGAAAAATAAATAATTGTATACAAAATTGTCTTTTATATTTATTACCATTTTATTAGGTTGTCCTGAAAATAATGCAGGATTTTCTTAATAATTGAAATTAAAAATACCTAAAGTTAAGGATTTATAACTGAAAGGAATACCATTTTTTTCTAATAAGTAAATAACGTTTTATGTAATCAACTAAAACTTTCTTGGTCACTGCAACGATAGCAAATTGTTCAAAAATTAAAATTTCATATTTAGTTTTAAGTACATAATAAAAAAAAAAAGGTATGTCCCGTCGCCTAATTATTAAAGAGTAATCAAGAACGTAAGCAGAAATAATTATGAAGTTATATACATCCTTAAAATTAAAATATGCAATAAAAGGAGAATACCAAGATGCTCTGAAAACAAGTGAAAATATAATTATATAAATAAGTGGTTAAGGGGAAAAAAAAAGTTATAAATTGAGATTTATAATATATTATTATGTAATACGTTTATATATTGTTATAATTGAGATTAGTGGGGAAAAAATTAAATAAATTAGGCATATGTTTTCACTCAAGGCGCGACCGACCACACCACGTCGCCGGCTATACAGATCTGTAATGCTGCTTGCGGTTACACAATACATGGCTGTGTCTTCGCAACGGATAGCGTTTAAGCGTTTCTTTCATCTCATATTTATTCCAATCAATGACTAATAACTTTTTAAAAATTATCCCACACATTACCATAACATATTCCAAGCCTACAGCAATTGTCATCATAGCCATTTTTGCATTTGCTGATTAAATTAATCGGATGATTAAATAGAAGGCGTTCAAGTTTACCAGTTCCGTATTTTAGATAATGTGGATTTTATGAGTGAGAAAATCATCTAATCTAAAAGTTTGCAATGACATAATCGTTTGAATGAATTGAAAAATACATTTTTTTTTTGTTTGTTTCTCAAATCCTAATTGGCGAAAAGATAGATTTATATTTCCGATCACACACGTATTTCGAAGTTTTCGAAAATTCGCAAAAATTCATAATTTTAACACCATTTTATTATTGTTCAATTTAACACTATATGAGTGCAGTAGTTCAAAACACACTGTGTGTTTTGTATTAGAAATACTAATTAATATAACCGTGAATCATCACTTTAAGGCGTTTTGAGGTTGGACATTGCCTTCAAACTTGATAAAAAAAAAAAAATGGAAAATATCGACTTAAGAAAAGGAAGATAAATACATCAGATATAGTCAACAAATAATGACACTGTTTTTTTTATTTATCTCCTTTACTTGTGTTAAATAACTTCAAATTTATCCTGGAGACAGGGCCAAAAGAGGAACTCATTTCTGGAGAATTTGAATATGAGTTACGAATGTTCTTACCACTCTACGTTAAAGACTTGTCTGCCATTCCAAAACCGCTGCTTTTGGAAACAGCGATCACGTAATGATGCCCAAATTTTAAGAAAATGACCCCCCACCCGCAAGAAAAATGAAACTTTAATACACGAATGTTTCTACTAAAAGGTGTAGTTTTTAATCCGTCTGTCTGGTAATAAATTTACTGATCTTCGGGCCCTAGAATGTTTAACTATATGATATGTGTGTTATATAAGGAGGAAATATTAATCCATTAATTTCATGACTCTTGAAAGTTTACAGCTAGAAAATGTTTAGTTTGAGACAAATAAATAATTTTTTATGCCACAGCCATCTACTATAAGATTGAAATTAAAAAATTGCAATTTCAGAAGTCAAAAGTCACAAATTTCAGGAGGCTATAAATTTTGCTATACGATACATGTATGTGAGTAGTTCATTAAAAACCTAGTCTGTTATTGATAGGACATTATTTTGTACTGACAGCCTGGGATCAGAACCACAACGGACATGCAGGAAGACGGCATTCCATTCTCAAATGTGAGGAAGTTTAAAGTGAATAGTGGATTGGGATCGTCGTATTTGGTTTCAATTGTAAATTATTTAATATTAACATGAAACAGAGCTACAAAAGTTGCTATAAATAACTCAAAAAATAGTCCTTAAAGAAAGTCCAGAAGAGTATAACAAAAATAAGAAAATATCGTAATGATGTTTATTACTATCTGAAGTTCAAACTCCGGTAATTGTGCATCTATATGGTAAACAGCTGTGTATGGAGAATTAATCAATAGTAAATATCACAAAGCTAACACCAATAAAAGCGAAATGCGATTCAGATAAAAGTGTACAGATAAGGATTGTTAAACGACTTCAATGGTTAATAAACCGCTAATGGTAATGGCAAAAACAACATTGCAGAAATGAATAAAATTCAGGTCAATATCTGAAATTTAAATATTATTTCAGTTCATCATTCATCGAATAACTTTTCTGTTCTTCCTGAGATGGCATTTACACTTCAATGGTTATCTCCGACTTCTGAGATCTTTTGGGGCTGTGTTCTCACACAGAACCCAAGTTCTCTTTATGATTAATAGATTTATGTCTCCCCCTAGCATGAACTTCTGCTTCATGTTCATCCTCAGACTGAGATTTTTCTTTATTCAGCCTTATCCTTCAAATAAAAGCTGCTTATGGCCTTGTTCCTTATTAAAATATTTTTTTTTAAAAAATAAAACTCAAATAACTATCAAATAACAATCCTACGCCCGGTCGGTGTAAGTTGTCTCAAGTAGACTGACGGGAGAGACTTGAAATGGGCACTATGGCTTTCCCTGGAGGACTGTCATCCATCGAAGTACTAACCACGCTGAACGTTGCTTACCTATTGCAAGCGCCTTAGCCCGTACGGCTATCCCAGCCTCCATTTGTGTATATATATATATATATATATATATATATATATATATATATATATCCTTATATAAATTCGTTTTAATTAACAATTTAATTTATCAAAAATCTTTTTCTTTTTTTTTTTGAGAACTTGTTTAATAAGAAATATTACAATCAGTATCAAATGACATTTATAATAGTGTTCAGAGTTTACATTCACACATAATGTACAATAAACAAAAATAATTTAAACAGAAAAATATATATATATATATATATATATATATGTGTGAATGTGAACTGTGAACACTATTATAAATGTCCTTTGATACAGATTGTAATATTTCTTATTAAACAAGTTCTCAAAAAAAAGAAGAAATGATTTTTGATAAATTAAATTGATAATTAAAAATGACTTTATATAAGGAGCTTTTTATCACAAATATTAAGAAATATATCACACTAAATTTGTATTGATATCGGTTGTAATTGTTTACCCTCAGAGTGTTCTTGATAATTTCTAATTCATTTTTAACTGAAAAATTTTGACATTGGTTGTTTTTGCATTAAGTCGCATCGTACAAGTAATCTATTTATGATAGGGTACAGCGCTGTGAAGTTTACATATAACTGATTTGACGCAATTATCCTGGGGACGTGATGGAATGATGAAGATTAGGGGTACTATTTAACCTTAATATTCCCTCGGGATAATTATTTTATTGTTTCATGATTTCATTTATCTTATCTTCTTCAATTTGTGGAGGCAAACATATCACTTGATGTTTCCCACATGGTTTTGACGCTCATAAACACCAGAAGTAACACGATCTACGCAGCATTGTTGCATGAATTATGACTCTGATTAGGCCATGTATGTTGCGGTGCTAATCCGTTTTTATGATTTATAAATTTGCATTCTCATCAATTTTTTAAAAAAAAATATTATGTTAATAAAAATTAAAAACTGAAAAACAAGGAGTATCTCCCTGGATAAAATTGACTATTATGTCCATCTGTCCATCCAAAAAATGAACCATATGAGAATAATTAATTTTAGCCCATTAATGTATCAAGTGAATTAGAGACAAATATTACTTGATATAAAACACTTTAAGTAATTTTTTTTAGGAGGAGTGGAGGGCAGGAGAAGTGTCTAAGGCACTGTTAATAGCATATCACAAAACACACTTTTAACGTCAGGTCATAACAATGCGGTACCACAAGAAAATTATGGAATAACGTTCTAGATTATTTTTAAGAAAAATAAAAAAGTGTCATGGATAAAATATTATCTTTCTTTAAAATTAAGTTTAGAAAATCTTCTTCATCTATTTTCAAATAGATCCGCTCTAGGCTGCATCAATCCTACTGATATTTCGGATAAAGCTACATGATCTCTACTGATAATGTTGGTTATTAATGAGGATTTCGCAAATCTAAGTATATATAAAATTACTTTTGTGGAAAGTACATAATTTTTTAATTGTTTCAAACAAACACTTGAATTTTTTTATTGATCAATGTACATATCCTTGATAATAAGAACATTGTTAAAACTTGAAGTATATAATAATCGAGGGGGAGGCTCTTAACTATACTGGGTCAACGTCCTTAAACGGAACATTTTTCTAATTATTTATCTATGTTGACATATTAATTCGAGTACAACCTTCATTTTTATTAATTTATGATATAATAGCTTATGAATCTCTGATAACGAGTTAATGGAAAATTTTGGTTAGGTAATTTATAATTCTGTTTTATATATATTTCATTAAAATAATTTCCATGATATGTAGGAATTCGAAATTGTAGCACAAGCCAAATTTTTGGCTTCAAATTTAAAATTGGAATGAAGGAAGTTTAAAAAAACTTTTAGATATAAAATTATTTTATTTAGACAGCTAATGAACTAAAAGTTCTAAAAAAAATATAAAGGAAAAAGTGTCTTTCAAAGTATTTGCCATTTTTTTTATAATAGTACAATTAAGTAAAATTTTCAATGATTAGTGTTTCGAATAAATCCATTAACATAAATAACTTTTTAAAGACATTTTAAAAACTCGGGACCATACCCACAGAAACAAGGACCTAATTATCGACATCTTTTCTGAAACGGTATTCCACAATCTCGGAGTAAAACAAAGCTTTCTGGGACTCCAATTGATATATCATCTTCATTTGTTCCCATGCTAAACTAAAATAAATAAATTTCATAAAATTGTCTTCATAACATTCCATTAGACCGTAATTCATTAGTCCTCGAAACAAATAAAAGACTCTAAACAATAACGAAATATGAGCTTGTGATAATACTTCGAAATAGGATCGTGGAACCACTCTTGACTCAGTAAATTGGATTTCCCTTTTAGTTAATAACTATATTATTGAGTTATCAATTTGTTCGTAGCACGCAGAAAATAGTGAAACTTTAAACAAACAAAAAACGTTCTCAGTGATATATACAGTTTCATATAAAGGTTTTTCAGTTTTTCATATAAAGATTCTACCATACATGCCTTCATCGCACCATGGCCGTATACAGAAGTAATGGGCAAAACTGTTTATCATGAGTAGCAGTTACAACAGTTTCTACTACTTTAAAAAAAAAGTTAAAAAAAAAAACAAATAAGTGTTTCAAAACTTGACGAGAAAAAAATCTTGTGTTCTGTTACGTTTATGCGAGTTTAAAATATATGAATAAAATTTATATCTCCAAAATAATTATCAATTTAGTTCATCATTGCATATTTTAAAGATATAGTCCGTATTATAAACCTCTTTTTATCGAATTATTAACATCCGCCTGAAACTTCGTAAATAGTTTCATCTCATCGTAATCTACAACTATTTTATTTACGAAAACTCTTGGAATTGGGGAAACTTCTGGAGAGGGGAAAACTTTGTCTATTTAATTAGGTACTAAAAACTCGTAAATACCCATTTGCTTTCTACTTTGATCGTAAGATAATTTGATCACAAAATAGAGAAAAAATGTGGCTTACAAAAATATTTTTGGGCTAATTTATCGGCGAAGCTTATTCCCTTGTGTTATTATAACCTATTTTTTAATATATATATTTTTTTATTATTTTATCCTCCCCTTTCTCGCATTTTAGGCTATATAGGGTTTTCCTAGGCCAGTTGGTGAGGGGCGAGATTAATACCAGAGTTAAAAGTCCCTCCGGCACCAGAACGCTAACTCGTATTTATTTTTATCAAATTATTTTCAATCAGGTTGCCAGGCAACGCGTTGCTGTTAACACGCTTTAGCCCGCTCGGCCATCCTGCCCCAACCGAAATACGAATGTATACAAGTATTACCAACCTCAAGGCCACCCCTTCATGTTTTCTTATATGTGCGCCGATGTTATTATCATGTTTGACTTGCTGTCGTTATACGGGAGAACCATCTGAAGGGGCGCACGTTTGGGACACCGAATGGGGACGTTTGGGGGCCCGATCTTCATGGGCGCTCGTACTATATTAGAAATAATTAAAAAAAATACAAATCGTATTAAAATAATTAATTTTAGCCTATCTATAAAGCAACTGTATTAAAGAAATATTGAACCAATTAAAATTCAAATATTACATAATATAAAATATCTTAGGAATAAATTCAATTTTTTCAGGGGGGAAGAGATGACGTCATTGCCCGGGGGAGCCGAATGTCAGAGGCCGGCACTGGTTCATCATTGGTTTATTGTTGTTTTCTTCTTTCATCTTCATTGCAAAGTTGATAATCATTATACTATAGCAGATTCGCTTCTTTTGTTTATTATTATGTGTCATTTTGTAAGTTTAGAACCGATTCCAAGATATTTTTCTAAAAGTGAAGGTTGCCCACAATGTGACTTTAGACACAGGAAGAACAATCGTTCCTAAGTTAAGTTAAGCCTTGCCATCCATCAATTAATAGATTAACAATTAAACTATAATTGTTCTGAAATCCCTCTGACTGTTAACTTCATGAGGAAATATATATATTTTGGTATTTGATCATCCACCATAGTTTCAAGCCTTATCGTAGAAAAGCCTTGTTTTGCTGTCCTTTTAGTACATTGATTTTTCTTCATTACTTTACTGTGTGCTCCTATACTATTAGTTTTAAACACAAATTATATTCCATTATAATCTCAGTATAAACATCATGCCGATATAGTATAAAAACATAAAAGAGATTTAGTATTATAAAAACATAACTTAATGGGTGATTTGTTTACTTTCAATTGGTTTGTTATTTTCAATGAACATTATTGTTTTAATCCATTAATATTATTACTATAGTAAATATTTAAATGAAAATTCTTTTGTCTACTCAATATTTTAAAGTTTAAAAAAAAAAAATTTAAAAAGTAACCAGAAAAAGGATTATGCTTTTGTTAAAAATAAGGATAATATATCTACAATATACCTAATTATGGGTAAGAATTAATTACAATATACCTACTTATCTCAAAAGATGAAAATTTCGTTCATTGCTTCACCACCGCTTCGCACTGTAAAGGTACTATTTGGCTGGCGCGGTCGACGACAGCGACCGCTATTCCCTCCTGCCAACCGCTGTTGGCGTAGCTATTTCGCTGAAACTGCTCACTGGGGTTGTTATAACCTGCCTATAACCTTCGAACATTTCGCTGTATCTTCGAAGATAAAAAGATGGACCTAATATAATAATAAAAATGAACATCCTATAATAATGAACATCTCTGACTACCGCTTTTTTATTTGAGTTGGAAAAAGAAGAGAAAATGTTGTTCATAAAGAGAAGGAATATCAGTATTTCGATGTGATGCTCATCATCAAAGTTCCTCTGATATTACATATTATTAGTTTGAAAAATAATACTAATTAATACATAATTGGTTAGTAATAAATATCATATATTTGTAACTAAATCTCAGCAAGCGATGTTTTAGAGTTTTATCAATAGTAATCAGTAAATCACCACTTTAATTAAAAAATACAAATCGTTTTTTCAATGGGTGGATTTTATAATATCAGTCGATTGTATCAGAGGGAGGTTATGGTGTTGTGGAGGTTTCTTACTATGATTTATTTGCAAAAAAGCAAGTGGCCTGGTCCATCATTAAAAAGTTTGAACAGACATAAAATATCCTGAAGGTTCATCAAATGATTCCTGATGTTGATGTATTCATAAGCAACTACACCATTGTTGATCCAGACGTTTATCAATTGTGGGTTGATGGTTGTACTTGTGAGTAACAATTTTTCAACCTATAAATAGCTCCTTCTTAATGGGGATGTGAGTGGTTAATGCTTGGATAATAAAATTTGCATTTGTTTATAACTCAAACCTTTTATTCTATTTGTTATAGCGGAAGATGCTGTTGAAAATGTTCATAGGCATGTAATAAGATATGCTGAAAATACCTTAGAACTTGTGAAAAGTGATGTATGCGACCATTATAGAACCTATAACTTACTTGAAAAACTACTGCATAATCCTCCAAAGCTCGCTGAACAGTTAAATTTTCAAATTGAACCTCTTACTAGGCAGTTGCTAATCGAAAAGTATGAGTCTAAATTTATAGATTTAAGAACAAATAAATTATTAATCTTTGTAGTTAAAAAACTACTAAAGGGTGTAAAAATAAAACAAAATATTGATTCAATGGTAAAAAATTATATTTATATTTAAATAATATATCAGATATACATAATGATATGCATCGTTTATTATATTTAGACAAACTGTATAAAATTTGTATCATTCTTGGTATGATGAAAAATACTACAATAGTGGATTAGTTTAATTTAATTATAAACGTGTCTTTAATTGATTTAATAATTTGACAGTTTTTTATGTCCTTTTAGTTATGAAGTAAATTCATTTAATTGATTGTTTATTTCAAAATTGTATGTATGCAAACTGTACAAAATTGTGTTATTCTTTATATGATGAAAAATACTATAATAATGGCTTAGTTTAATTTAATTATAGTGTGTCTTTGATTGATTTAATAATTTAACAGTTTTGTATGACCTTTTAGTTATGAAGTAAATTATTTTCATTGAATGTTTATTTTAAATTTGAGGTACCATTTTAGACAACAACAATGAAATTAATTATAGAAGATAATTTTTAATGGCTTCCATAAATTTTTTTTCCTTCATTTTAGAAATGCATTCACTTAATCATTGATTCTTCAAAAGGCTAAAATTAATTTTATTAGTAATTATTTGAAAAAAAATTATATTAAATTAAAATTTAATAAATTTGATGGGTATTCCTAGTTTTATTAGAGTTGTTATCTCACTTTCCCATGTTTACTTGTTGTAAAGCAAACTTATCTTAATACCAATATTTTGCTTAGATATTTGTTTTAAATATCTTTAATAATCCACAAAAATTATTCCAATCCATTATTTTTATTTAAATTGATCATTTATTATTGATTTAAGTTGTCTATTTACTAATGTATTACCTGTATATTCTTCCGTACCTTTATAACTTTCTTGCCATTATTAGAAAATAAATAAATAAATTGTGTTGAACTACTGTAAAAATCATAGCTTATTTTGGTGTTGATTCTGACAGAAATTTGAATTTTTTTTTTTTAGGTACTATGAATTTGATGATATTGTTATTAGAGAACTCCTTGGTAGAAAGTTATCTTCCAGATATCGTAAAGATTTAGATGAAGTCAGTGAAAAAACAGGAATTACATTGAAGTCCTGCAGGTCATAACCATAATAGTTTAGGATAATGTTAAATTATGTTTTTATGTAATGTTTAATTAAATGTTGATTGATGTATATTATTTTATGTTGTTCAGGAGGCAGTTTGATAATGTAAAAAGGATTTTCAAAGTTGTAGAAGATCTTCAAGGTTCTGTAATTCAAAACATTAAGAATCTTTTCCTACTTTCAGAAGATCTTGCTAAGTATGTATTATATATAGCTATTAATAAGCTTGCATTCGTTGAAATATAAAATTAATATTTGTATTAATTTCTTATTTTAAAAAACTATACTTTTAATAGGGTCTATAAGAAGTGCTATTTATCTCAAATTTTGTATACCTCAGTTTGATACTTTTATTTTATTTTATGTACACCAAAATATCATATTTCTTTATTATAATTAACATTACATCAGCCATAGATTGACTCTGGGGTTGGGAAACCCTTATAGTGCACATGCTGCTTCTGTAAAGTCAGTGCTGCTAATTAATAAATAAGGAAAACCTAACGGTTAAGCCTGATCTCCGTCCAATCACCTCCCTGTATAACTATTGACCTGGCACAAATAGTACTTTCTTACATAGTACTAAACCCGTTTTGATTATTGTTCTTGCAGTGCTTGTCTGATCCAGCCTGCTGCTATAGATCCTCCTCAATCTTATTGAGATTTCTCTTCAATCTCAGCCTACCTGATACAACTCATTAGTTAATCTACCTTTTTTAACATTTATTTATTTCTGTAATTTTCTTCTCTAAATTCCAAGACCTTTTTTTTATGATCTATGTTTTGCTGGTCTTAATGAGAAGGTGTATATGCTGCATATATATCTTAGCTTTGCTAGAAAAGAATTTGAATTCTAGTTTTTTTAATTTTTTTTTTTTTTCTTTCCTACCTCGCCTTTTAGGCTTTATGGGGTTTTCCCAGGCCAGGGAGTGAGGCCAGGGAATTTAAAATCCTGAACTAGTACTTTTTTTAATCTTTCAAAACTTCATAAATCTGGTTGCTGAGCAACTCGCGGTGCTGTGCACACGCTTTAGTCCATTTGGCCACCCCGCCCCCTGATCTTTTGAAGTGCTAATAGTATCTATTACCTGATCTACACTGAGCTCTTAAGCTAAACATTTTTTTTTCCTAGTTAATTTCTTGATTGTGCTCCTTCCATTAATAAAATAAACAGACTCTGAATTAACACTCAGTTATTACTGTTGTTAGTACATTTTATATCTCCTTATCATACAATAGCTTGCCCTCAAGAATATGGCAGACACTCGAGTACATACCATATTTGCGAGCTACAGTTTAATTTAAATATCTCATTTTTTTATGAGTAAATTGAATTTAATAATAGAATTTTCATCTACTTGGTTAGCTAAGTTATGATTATGAAGAACCTATTTTCCTAATTTTTTCTCTTAGGCGCTATGGCGCTGTGGTATTTATGGCTTGCCTTCGCCTTGAAACAGGAAAAAAGAAACTGCAATATCTTAGCTTTAATGATTTTTATGAATGTGCCCTTGCTGTTATGCACCACTGGACCTATCCGACGGGATCTTCAGACCATGATGATATGGATTTAGATAGAGAATTTCTTCTAGATTTAAGAGAAATAAGGTCATTATTAGAAAAAGAAAAGGAATTTAAACAGTAAGTAGTTCTTCTTATTGGTGATTTCAAATACATCCTATAACATTCTAAAAACTTTGAATAATAATTTGTACAAATTATTAACTTTACTGTTTTTATTTTATTATAGTCTTGTTTGTGCAAAATTAAAGCCTGAACTTCTGGATAAAGCATATCAAGAATTAGAGATCAATTTTCGAAGTTATGCTAGATCAATTATAAGTATTGGATGTAGTTTGCATAGATCGAGAGAAATAAAGTAAAATATTTTTCCTTCCTATTAAAATAAATTATAGTATACATAGTTTCATTTGATTAATGTTTTATTCTATTTTATTTTAGATGTTTGTTCTTGGATCTGTATGAAAAATGTATAGAGCCATGGAGACAAATATCATGGACACCACATGATCTCACTATATTCTTATCATCATTTAAAAACTGTGCTCTTCAGTTAGACTGTTTCAGGTATTTCAAACTATTTTTATTTTTATGCAAAACTGGTTTCCTTCTTTAAATAAAAATTATGTGAATAAATACATTATTAACAATTATTCTTGTCATGTTGCAACCAAGCTCAAAGCCTCGGAACTCACAATTCCATACTAGCTACTACGTATTTTAGATAACCAGGGATTCTCAGAATCTGTTAATAACAGACATTGGTAATTACAACAAATGTTCTGTTAAATCCAAACAGAAATCATGTAAATAATCATTTCTTAATTACATTTTTTTAATAAAAACATTTTTCATTCTGACATCATGGCATCTCAGACACGGACGTTTTTTTTTTTTGTACTACGTCCCCCACTTTTGGAATGTAATTTCGGTTCTCTAGTAATCTAATTTTCCCCCAACTATCAAAGAAAAGTTTTATTATTTTCAATTTTATTTTATGAGCGTTTGAGTGACCAGTCTAGCTAAAAACCGAAAAGTTGTTCGAAACTGATATCATTTATTTAAGACAGGTTTATGATTTGAGATGTTACAGCAACTTTTTCCTTAAAATCGGCTAACCGAAAGTGCCCCGTTATATCAATGGTGATACACATTTTTCTCAGAAATGCCTCTAACAATTTTGATTAAACCCAGTATATCATTTTATTATTAAGTGATCTTTAATATCATTTAGGTCTTATCCTCATTGATGTCATTTTACAGGGCTTAAATGCCCAATGTCAATATTTATTCCTCTAAAGTACTTTTAATTTGGTTTATTTTGAATAATTAACTATCTCTCATTGTTGAGAGTTATAAAAAAAATGCTAAATATAACTTTTGAAAGAATTTGATAATTGAATAAAGTAGAAAAAATAAAAAAGCCTATCCAGGTCGAAAATGAATCTCCGGAAATACCAGTCAGAAGGTATACGTATAATACATTGTTGGAAAGTGGAGATTGATAAACAAAATATAAATAATTATTTCTGAAAACTAACATTATTTAATGTAAATCACATGTTTATAAGCAAATCAAATGAAATTTTATACTAAATGTAAACTTTAAAAAAAAATTTTAAGTTTGAAAAAAGTATTTAAACTAAAGGCAATGACATTGTTTAAAATACTGTTTCATTGCGCTTGTGTGAAAGATATGTTTATAACCTTAAATGCATTTACGGTAGTTTAATAACTCTAGATAATATCTTATATTTAAATAATTAGGTGCCTATCGGCCATTTATTTCGGAGAATTATCAAGTAACCTCTTGGAAAATTAAATTAGTGAATAATTTTATTAATTTTCTCTTTGTGAAATCCCAACATTATCCACTTACAGTTAGTGTGACAACTTTTGACCTATCAATGGCAGACAATGAAAATCTTGTTATTTCATTTTAGTAAACTTTACAATGGATAATGACAGTTTAATAACTAATATACCTATAATCCATAATCATTTATAGGTTAAATACTTAGATATACTATATTTTCAAATCTATCTAGGCATATGTGAGCCTTTTGGTTGACAGGATGACTAACTCCACAAAATTGTTTATTATTAATTTTAGTGATGTTTCACTAAATTTATAACTTTATTCACATCTATATTTCAACACTTCGATCACCTACTCTGGAATCAACTCTGTATAGATATATCTTTTCCAACTAGAAATATCATTAAAATGACATTACTCAAAAATGTTGAAATCGGAATTTGTCATTCTGTCAACAGAAAGGCACACAACTCAGAGACTGAAGTTATATGATTTATAAAAACTGATGGAGTAACTAGATTTTTATTGCCTACAGTCGCTATAATAAATAGAGTTTTTGTTATTTTAATGGTCCTAATGATTTGTTATCTGTAACCTTTAAGCTTTAGCTCCGCTTAAAATGTACACATAAAAAGTCATTAAGGTATTATTAATAGAGGTTAACTTTAAAATATGATTTCGAGGATTTCGACTTTATTTATCAATACAAAAAAAACCGTAAATACATGAAAATAACTCAGCCTCTTTTATATATCAAATATAATTAAAACAAGCAGTCAATTTTCTGATTTCATGATGGAAAGATTCTTCAAAGTTTTTAATTATTAAGATTATGAAATGTCACTTAATGATTTCTTGCAATGAACCGATGATATCGTCTGATTTTAAAAAATGACATATTTTTTTGTAGGGAATTTGATACACGTCATGCCTGGGAACGATTTATGACTGTTATATCTACAAGTCTCCTCCGTATGTACCACACTTGAGCAGTTATTACATTTTTTAGAACTTAATTGAAAATAGCTCAATGTCATTAGATTTTAAGAATTTTATTTAATTATATCTTGCAATCAATTACCTAATTTAATGTTAAATATTTTATTAATATGAGGTTGTGTTTTTAGAATTAGATGTCCTGAAACATGTGTGATTGTAATTCTATCGTAGTTACTTTTGTATTAAGATAGTATTTATACTTTTAATAAATAACTATGGATTTAACAAAAAAATAAAGTATACTATTACAAAGTTTTTTAACTATTTGTATGAAATGTGTGGTTGTTGTGTATAACCTAATAAATGTTACATTTAAGATAAAGATTTTGTATTGAATATCTAAAATGAAGAAATGTGTTTTTTTTTTTGTTTTTGTTTTTTCCTTCATGAAGTTATTTTAATGTGTTTTCAACTTTTTTTTTTTCCTGTTTAACTAGAGGTCTGTAGGTTTCTTGTTACTAATAGCATTTTCTGGTATAAGGCTGCAGACTTCATGAACTTTGTTAATTGATAAAAATTCAAAAATTATTTTGATCTTTGTATAGAAAATAATTATTTATTCAGAAGTTTGAAAAAATACATAAATACATTTAATTAAAGGATTTAATTTGGTTATTTCTTGAATAACTACTTCACCCATCAAAAACTGGTCAATCAAGATATCAAGAAAAAATTGGTACTTTCCGAAAATAAATTCTATCAAACGATGAATGAACAATCAGTTTTGGAAGTAATACTAAAAGCCCTTCCCAAAATCTTTCTTTTCCCGAAAAACTACTTTCTTTCAGCAGAAATTTCTTTATGTTACAACATATGTAATGCATTGTTTAAGACCACACGTATTTTTATTTCAAATTTTAGGTATTATAAATAATGTTCTAATCTTGAGAATGTAAAATATATAAATAAAACAACTTCTGAAGTAGATAAAAAAAATTATTACACATAAAATGACATAGAATTATTATCTAAAATGATTTATTCGGTACAGTATGATCTCAAAATATTTATAACCTTCACTTTGTCCACTAGTAACACTTATGAGTGAAACAATATACATATATATATGTATATATACATATACATATATATATATATGTGTGTGTACATATTTTTAATATTAAACATAATAATCATAAACCATTAATTTATTTGAAACATAGCAAAAATCAACTACATTTGCTACAAATTCAATTTCATTTTCTAGTAGAACATAATTAATCAGATATAAAAATACAGAATAGTTATGTGAAAGACTTAAAATGCCATTAGTGTATGTACCAAATACTACTTGGATGAATCTTGCTTAACCTTTTACAATGAAACAATTTGTTTCAATTGCTCTAAATTTTGTACTCTGTGAAGTTCTACTTTTGAACAAAACATATCGCTCTGGTCAGGTTAGATGTGATTATTAATTAATGGTGGGCTATTATATAAGATTGTTGGATCATTCTTCCTCAGAACACTTTCTTAACCTCCTGCAGTGAACAATATGATTTCTTTGAGTACCTATATTGCTTCCTGTTTGGTGAAACTAAAGATTGTATTGTTTTGTCATGTGTTAAAAAATTTCAGATTGTTTCGCAATGGGTTCAATACATTAAGGCTTTGCTATTAACATAAAATTACTTAAGGCTACCTTAGCGACTGAAGAACAAATTGTCAAACCTTGGACAAATAAAGACTTTTTTTGTTGCTCACTTAAAAAATAATCAATTTAACAGCAATAGATATGTTGCAGAGTAATCAAAAATCTTCAGTTCTAATTTATTGTACTATAGCTACAGTGTCAAGACATTTTTTTTTTTTTTTTTTTTTTTGTAGGACAATTCTAGTTTTAATTCCTTGTTTTAGTTTAATATAATACCGTTAAAAGGTCAACTAACTGTATTATTTTTTTATATAATTGTTTTCTAATTCATTTAAAAATAAATTGAGCTTCTATATTTTATCTTGTCTTTATACAAAGGGTGTGAGTAATAAGATGTATATTATAGCTCACCATCTAGATAGCTAGTAAAGAATTTAATTGGAGTCAAGAGGGAATGCAACATTATTCTTCATTAAAAACTAAAGAGTCCATGACAAAAAAACAATATGGAAATATTTTCGGTTGGTCGTATAATTTTGTTTTAAGACCAAGTTTTTCTAACTAATCCTTGTCTTAGCTGGGAAAAGAAACAATGTATGATTATAATTTTTATTCGTGTTTTCCCGAAAATAATAGACTATTTTATAATATCCTCTTTAGAACCTCCATGATAAAACACACCCACAAATGCAGTACCGTCGCGTAAATTTATGGCGCCTACAGTGAAAATTTTCCGGTCCCCCCCTTACTCCTCCTGAAATCGAACAATGTGCTTATTTTGCCATGATTAAAGCGAGATAAATTCTGAAGCTGGGCCTGGTTTGCTTTATTTTTCATCAATAAAAGCTAATTATTTAACTCAATTTGAAAACCCGATATGTGACGTCCCCACATATCCTCCAAATTTTGAAATACACTTAATTTGGCTTTCCAAATAATTCTTTGAGATCCCTCGTAACCTCGTAGAATGTTATTGTTTTTTAGTCCGAGATGAAGTTCATAGCTATAGAAAGTCTTACCGGATATTGGCGAGTCCCATGTTCCTTTTTTAGTGATGACTACCGTAGTTGCGTAGTATCCTTATATATAGTATAAGTAGTATTTGGTAGTGTCCTTCACTGAAAGGATTCTATTATCTTCAGGCAGAGTTTAGCCCCCATGCTAGAGAATGCTGATACAGTAGTGAATCCAGGATAGGTAGGGAAAAATTATATCTTAAAAAGAGTAACTATCGGCGCTTTCATTACTATTACTCTAATACATAACTGAATTGCATTTATTGCGAGCATGTTGTACGGCCCCTGAAAAAGCGTTTCAAGGATCATCTTTTCTGCTTGGGCAAGGATAACCTATTAAAGTATATTTTCTCCATATGGTAATGTAAGTGCCATTTAAGAAGATATTAAATTTTGCTATTAATATTATTACAAACACTAATACCTAATTTTCTATCCATGTATACGCGGAGGTTTTACTGGATTCGCCTGTAATCTGCAAGTCAGTATATTTAGTAAGTTTTATCCTATTTCGACTTAATTTTTACATTAGCAGAACCAATGAAAGCATTTTTAACCATAGGTTTTAGGTCTTTCTGCCTCTTAAATTATTCATGTTCAATATTTTCAATGGAAAAAGGTAACAAAAAAAAATATATTATTAACTACATGGTTACTGTCAATCACCATGCTGTCTGTATCTATACATTACTTTAACAAATAGATTTAAATGTCCTAAAACCAACGAGTGAAGGGGGCTTTCGATCTGAAGCCCCTCCCCCCAAAATGGTATAATGTAACCATGTTTTATGGAAAAAAATATAAAAAAGTATCTATTAAAGCATTACTGTACATGTTATTAAATTACATTTAATAGGACTTCAAGAATCACTTAAACACCATTTCATATACGTAGTTAGTATCTTTCTTTTTTTCCAAAATAACTATTGTTGTATACATGAAAAAAAAAGCTTTCGAGCTGAACCCCCTCCTCTCCCTAAACTAAATCATGGATCCGTTAGTGCCTAAAACCTACAATTTTCGACAAAATAAATACATTTCCTCTCAATAATCGTCCAATGACAACGAGAGATTTTACGATAGCCTTCGGTTATCGAAAAAGAAGCATTACGTGCAGGGTTGCTCAGAAGGGTTTTTCATGGCGCAACTTGCGCCATCAAACTTTTTAAGGTGGGCATATTTTGACGGGTTTTTTGAATTTTTGAGGGGGCAAATTTTAACGGGGTTATGAATTTTCGAATGAAAAGTTTCAGAATAATGGGCAAGGAGAAAGCGTGGAACAGACAGCAGCAAGTGGAATTGAGTATGACCTACGATTTTTCTAATTCTACTTTCCCTTGCTCTGTTTCTATGGAAATGTGAGCAATCAAATATCTTGGGAGAGGGAGGGGTTAGATTCTTGCCACCATCGACCTTGGTGGGGAATAGGCACCCCTGATTAGCTGTTTAAATTTTTTTGAGGAAAGAGACTGACAAGCCCTTTTAACAGGCATTACCTCCGGTCCATTACCATTTCTTCACAAATGAGATTATTGACGAAAAAACGAAAAATAAAACTCCTGGACATGACTTGATTAGGTGGAGTGCTCCTGTAAATATACCTACGGACGATATGGTTTTTCTGACAGCTATTTCTGACACAATATTGATGGAAATAAATTTCAATGAACAGCAAAAAGAAACCATCAACATACCGGACATTCATCTTACTATCTGTTCCGAAATTTTCGACAACTTATTATGTATAAAAAAGACTTAAATGTAAGCACGTCTCAAGTATTAAAAAAATAATAATGAATGATAGTCTTCCCCCTCCCGTAAATTAAACCCTGAATCTGTTCCGGTCTTTCGTGTGAAAGAAACTTGAGATGACGTGTAGTCGGTCCTCACGTGAAGAAAAATATAAAAACCTTGACAGATAAAGAATAATTTCACTATTTATTATATAGGGACAAAAACAATTTAAATGTGTAATTTTTAATATAAAATATTTATTGAAAGTCAAAGTTCAGACCCACACCATTGCTGATCGTCATCGGGACTAAAAAAAGAAGACACAGAACAATCTAGAACTATTGTAGGAGGTTAAAGGGAATAAAATAACTATAAAGTAATAACTGATACTGTAGTGAATTATAAAAATCTGGTGCGCGCAACACACAACTTTCACTTTAAATATTATATCACTCTACTGTAAATATTATTTTCTGGAAATTTTGGGTTATTATAAATTTTTTGAAGTGCATTTTAAACGGTGCTAGAGCTTAAAGCTTACAGCCAACACATCATTAAGACCATTAAAATTACAAAAAATCTATTTATCACATCGTCGGTAGGCAATAAAAATCTAGTTACTCCATCAGCTTTTATAAACTACACAACTTCAGTCTCTTAGCCTATCAGTTGACTGAAAGACTGACTACAATTCCAACATTTTTGAGTAATGCCATTTTAATGATATTTCTAGTTGTAAAAGTTGTATCTACACAGACAGTGAGTAAGTTGATTCCAGAGCAAGTGATTGCACAAATATAGAACTGTGATTAAAAGTATACATTTTGCCACCAGAAACATCACTTAATTTAATTATAAAAATGTTGAAATTGGAGTTAGTTATTCTGTCAACCGAAAGACTCATATATGACTAGAAAGACTTGAAAGTACATCTGAATATTTAACCTATAAATGATTATCGATTGTAAAGTTTATTAAAACTATATTACGAGATTTTCATTGCCTGCCATGGTTAGGTCAAAAGTTTTCATATTACTTATAAGTGGATAATGTTGGGATTTCACAAAGGGAAAATTCATCAAATTATTCACTAATTTAATTTTCTAAAAGGTTAATTGATGATTTTTTGGAATGAACGGCCAATAGATACCTGATTATTTAAATAGATAGATAGATAGAAAAAAAACTTTATTCTGGGACTATGTGCCTTAAGAATAACAATATTGTACAAAAGAATAGAATATTACTGACCTAAAAGTTTGAAACAATAAATAAAATTTATAAAATAAACTAGAAAGTAAAGAAAACTTTAGGTGAACAAGCTATATAAAGTACAGATAAAACTATGTACAGAGCATTTAAAACTATGAACAAAATACTTAAAACTATGAACGAATCACTTGAAACTATGAACAAAACTATATATAAGGGTTGAACAACATAAACATACACTTTGAGAAATGAAGAATGAAAAAGAGATAGAATAAGTTTATTTAAAAAAAAAACTTTACTTGTATATATATAAAAAAATAAAAAGTTAATTATAATTGAATAAAAAAAAAATTAACTCAAGATCTGATAAGATTTCGATCTATTAATGTTATAAATAAAACAATATTGATGAATATAATGAGGACGTATATCCTCAATTGGCAACAGTGGAGACCATAAACGTTTGGTTTCCTCTACCATGAACACTTTAATCTCTCTCGCCCCTGTTAACAAAATTATAATTACGGAAAAGGAAATGAGACACATGTGAATAACAGTGTATATTATGCTATAATTGGATGATATTTCTTTTAATATTCTTCAACATGAGGAGGGCGCCACCGGATGTTTGCACGGTTTGTCCGGACCGGTCGTCTCTGCTTAGCACCTTAATGCTTGGGTAGCATTTTAGTAATTAGCTCACATGCTAAATGCGATTTGTACAGTTTTTTTCTTCATCATGGACACAAATGTGTGTGTGAAAATTTGAATTGAAATGAGTCATTTAGCTCTAACATTATCACCGTCTGAGTGATATTGCATCTATATTGTCAAAACGTCTCAAGTAATCAATCATATCAGAAATCTGTCAAATCGATTATCAGAAATGGATGTTAATCAGGAGAAAAATGAGAAGAAAGATTAAAACTTGTAGAAAGCTGATATTGGCTTAAGGGATGCACTGGAGCTGGGATGTGGAGACAATAGGCTTGATCCGATGGTGGGGTCCATCAAGCCCTATATAATGCCATTGTCTTCATATCGTCCATCAGTTCTCTGGATCTTAGTCATTAGACATGGGGCACAAGTGTTTCTCCTCTAGGTTACTGGCTTGTCTATCCCTTCGGGAGTGTACGGGCAAGTTATATTTGTGTGCAGCGATCATACTCTCTTCTCTCCACATATCATCGACTCAGGAAATCAAAAAATGGCGTAATGCTTCTTCATCCACATGGTATTATGACACACATGTGGTCTTTATTTTAATATGACCGTATATGTTTCAGCATCCGATTTCAAAAGATGCTCACTCAATGATCCAAAACTGGACGATTGCATATTGCAAGCTGCGAAAGAAGTTATGCCGAAACTGGTTAAAGGTAAGAGTTATTCTTGGAATAATAGCCTTCATTTTTGTCCATAGTTATTTTTTCCCCAATTCAGGCACGATCGGGACTAAAAAACATAAGATTACATAAATTAAGACTACATATAACATATATCACATTAATTAACCAAATAATGATAGTACATCACATACTTTACAGGGAGGATAAAAACATTTTTTTTTCAACTCAAAGGTGACCTGGTCACTAGCGGATCCAGGATTTAATTTTGGGGGGGCTTCAGCCCGAAACCTTTTTTTGTTTCATAAAAATAACGATAATTACTTTGGAAAAACAGAAAGAAACTAACTACCTATATGAAATGGTGTTTAAGTTATTCCTTAAGTACTTTTAAATGTAATTACACGAACAATAATACTGTAAGAGGTATTTTAAAAAAAAAATTTCCCATAAAACATGGTTATAAAGCCCCCCCCCCCCGTAGATCCGCCCGTGGACCTGGTTACAGTTATTTCTTGCTGTAGCAACCAGAGATTAAAAACAAGGTTTGAGGGAAGGAAGCAAATTATAAAAAAGAAACGAAATTTCCAAAAACTTAATTAAAAAAATTACGATGTATTTTTTTTTTCATCTACATGTTTCGAATGTTCAACTTTTTACAACGATAATTACTTTTTCTAAGCAAATACCAAAGTGATACAATTCCCAATTTCACTCATATTATTTATTATAGTTTTACATTTTAGTAACTATTTAAATGTTTTTCTACAGTTTGAAGTAAAATCGTCAATCTCATATTGCCATTTGAATTTCCGAAGATGGTGGGGCATCCTCTACCTCCCCTGTGGTTATATCCTTCATTGCTGCACTAATTATGTGTTCTGAAAATCCTCTAACCCCATCAAGTTTAAAAGTAAAAGCGAATTCCTATTAGATATATCTGGAATCCGTAAAGATGCTTCACTACTTAGGGCCAGTTGTACAATTGGAGTTCAAGTCAAGTTTAAGCTTGAACTACAGTCAACCATGAAAATCATGAATGATAGACTGTACTTCAAGCTTGAACTTGGCTTGATCTCCAATTGTACAACTGGCCCTTAATTGGACATTCAAATGTGCATACAATTTATTAAACGCACTACTAATGTCAGCGGCGGATCCACGGCAGAGAAAAAACGTTAAGTCCCTTCTACCAAAATAACCAGTCTTTTAAGATACACTTTTTTCCTTTTTTTCTCCTTCCTCGCCTTCTAGGCTATACTGGAGCTTTCCCGAGCCAGGGGATTAGAGCGGGTGATTAATGCCAGAGTTAAAAGACCCCCTCGGTACCAGGACGCGAAATAGTAATGATTTTGACCTAATTATTTCATATATCAGATTGTCGAGCAACGGCTGTGCATACGCGTTAGCCCGCTCGGCCACCTCGCCACAAAATATACTTACTTATGTCAGTACTCATAAATAAATTATTATCCGTTAGGCACGGAGATAATCAATTTAGTCTGTGGTCACTGGAAATTCCTCCTCCCTCCCCCACTCTAGAACTACCTCTGGATCCACCTCTGATTAATGTCATTAAGGCAATTCTTGATTCTGGCACTGATAACCCGCGAAGCTCTTCCTTTTATCTCTTCTTCCATCTTGAGAAACTGATCTAACATTGAGACTGCGTCAGACCAACAGTTCATTACAACCTTTACATCGTTTCTTGCACTAGCGGATCCAGGATTCCATTTTGAGAGAAGGGGCTGTAGCCCGAATTTTTTTTCTTTCATATAAGTATAACAATAATTAATTTGAAAAAAAAAGAAAGAAATTAATTACCTATATGAAATGGATTTTAAGTGGTTCTTGAAGTCCTTTTAAATGTAATTACACGAACATGAATACTTGAAGAGATTGCATTTTTTTCTTGAAATATGGTTATATTTTTATCATTTTGGGTGGGACTTCAGCCCGAAAGCACTCCCTCCCCGTATATCCGCCTGTGGTTTCTTGTAGTATATTATGGATTTATTTCTTTTATTATTAGAACAATGAATGATGAATGTTGCAGGAAGCAAGGACTTGGGCCTCGTAAGCTTGGATCCTATGTCGATGGGGAACTTCAGCCTGGGTGCCGCCAAAGGCCCCATCACCCTCCGCGTTGACCTTTCTGCGGCACAGCTCTCCGGCCATTCCGCCTTCAATCTTCAATCAGTCAAGTAATTTATTTGTATCAATTATGAAATATGAAGCTTTAATAAAAAGCTTCATTCAGATTGTATTCATCTATTGATAATAACGGTGTAAATAATTACTAAATGATGGTTCTAATTGTAATGGAGTGGTACAAGTTAAATATTTTGGCTACCTAGTGCAAAGAAGTCATTTCAAAGTTTTATTCTTTCCATTTGGCAGATATGATAGAGAGACGTTCAAAATGGAAATGAGAGGGCTGCACAAAGAAATCGAACTTACAGGCGGATGCGCTACCAAAGGAAAGCTCTTTAGGGTACCAATCAACAGTAAGGGCACGCTACTGTTTACACTCAGTAAGAAAATTTGTTTTTCTCTTCATAATTTTACTAATTGCATATAATTATAGTATATTTTTATACTGCAATTGTGGAGCCTCTACAAACAGTTGTAATTATAAAATGTTTGATCGAAAGAGTATTTTGTTAGTTTAGTAAACAGAAAAATCAAGTAGTTGGAGTGCTTATTACACTCTCTTCCACGATTACCGCAATCCCGAGAATCATTAATCCTTCTGGCTCTGTAGAAGAACTAATTTTATTTATTATTTTAATGAAAATCATTTATGCATATTATTAATTAAGCTAATTTAATTAACTGATTCTGATTTGAGTTCAAGTCTATATAAATATTCATAGGTCCTTGATTTTTATAATTGACATTAGTTAATTTAATATGATGCTTTACTTTGATTCAAACAAAAAGTGAGTAGCAGTCACAGCCTTTGCATGGGTTTTTGGCGCCCGAGTCGAAAACTTATCAGGCGACAGCTCGCATCCCGTTAACGCTGCCAATATTCTATTTTCTAACATTTACGAGTCATATTTATTGTACCTAGATATATTATTGCACTTACATCCACGAATAATAAATCTCTACCGAGCTTAGATATAATTATTCCGCAAGTCGTGTGTGAAGATCTAAGCAAATATGAAGAGGAATTAATCAGAAATTAGAAAAAGAATAGAAATAAGACTTTTCAAAAGTATTATGTATTCTCTTCATTTTTGTCTCCAATTCGTGACCATGGCGTTCCACACACGGGACGACCCTGGTGGCAACAATGTCTATTGGGTGTTAGTAAGCCTGGCGTTAACAGAAATTTTATATCGCGGTCTACACAATGACCCTTAATCGTCACTCCATAAATGAAAGTATTGACCGTAATTATAATATTTCATAATTTGTAGATATGTCCTATCTTTTTGTTTAAGACGAAAACACCTGGCACAATTTTTTTTCTTATCATTTCTCCCTCTTCATTCTCTAAGTTAAATGTTTTCCCAAAAAATTAAGTATGGTATAAATATGCGTTTCTATCACTATCAGCATTTTCCTCGATTGAAATAGAATGTATTGAGTTGGCAAATAAGTCCTTTCGGTTTTTCAGAGTAAAATAAAACTCAATGTACTATAGACATAAAATTTATTTTAATCTGTAATATATTGACCATTATTTAATGTGACTTTTTGCCATCTTTCCACTAACTACATAACGCCATGTTCATAGAATGTCTGGAGTTTATTGTTAAAAAACTGATCCAAGTGGTTTTTGATGTCCTCATCCTTTTGGAATTTTTTTCCTTTCATGGAGTTCTACAGAGACCGAAATAGGTGTTAGTCACTTGGAGCTAGTTCTGGTGAATAGGGAGGGTGGGGCAAAAGGTCCCATCCACTGCTCAATAATTTATTGCGAGTGACCAATGAGCTTAATATTGCTTGTTTCAATTTCATGTGGGCGACCAGACCGTTGAGGATCATTGATGTCAAAATTTCCTGAATGAAAGTTTTCAAACCGATTTTGACAGGTGCGTTAGGTTAAGGCATCATCTCCATAAACACATCAAATTTTTCTATGAGCTTCTGCAGCACGCATACCTTTTTTAAAATAATACAACAAAATATGCCGATAATGAATGATATTTTCTGCAATATTCACAGTGCAATAGCAAACACAATACTAAACTAGTTTCAACAAGAGTTAACAGATATAGTTGTTGACATATTACAAACAGGATAAACTATCCACTTTAGGGATTAATTCATCAGATAAGAAGTGTATCATAGTGACATAAAAATAAACAGAAACACCGAAAGGACTTATTTGCCTACCCAATAATTTTTTTTTTTTTTAATGGTGGTTTAGTGTGTATTATGAGAATATCGAGTGCATAAAGCTCCATTATTCTTCCTGCGACCTTTAAAATTTTCAGTATTTATTTTTTCATAGAAGGCACTGAAAAAGATTTAAAAACTATTTATTGATTTACAGAAAATATGGAAGCAACTCATACCGTTAGGTTCAAGCCAAGGAAAGAAAAGGATCTGACATTCATGGACTTGGATATTACATTTAAAATAAATCATGTTGATATGTTCAAGATGGATCTCTACAATCCTCATTCCACTAGGATAGCAGGTATATATTTCAATTAATATTTATCAGCTAATCTAGTGTAATATGTCTCCAAACTACGGCCGGCGGGAGTTATCAATGTGGCCCGCGAACCAAAAAGTTTGGAGACCCCTGCCTTAGATGATTAAATTAAGACTAGGAGATTATTATATGACATTCTGATTTGAAAGAATTATATATTTTTTAGCGTTTTGAAATATATTATTTCAATAGTAGATATTATTATATTATAGTAGATATTATTTTAAATTTAGTTCTGAAAAAAAGAGACAAAATGTTAAGATTCTTTATTTTAACAGTTCATTTATATCCTAATGGTATGAATAATATCTGATTTGACGTTCATAAAATCACATTTTTCAAATTTTCCGCAAACATTAACTCTGTTAGAATCTCGAAATTTGTCACTTAATAAAAAAATTGAAATTATAGAAACGGTAAGAAAAAATCTTTTAAAAATAAATAGTGAAATAGGAAAAAATGTATCTCCAAAATTTTACTGTGTAATAGAAAAAATACAGGTTACAATGCTCTTACAAAAAAATATAATGACTGCATTAACAATATAAATGTTAATGTTGGTAAAGAAGCAGCAATGCATGTTACAAAATGAGTTCATATTGAACGCTATTTTTCTCAATTAAAAGACGTATTAAGTGATAGAAAAAACAATTTTTCAGAAACGTATAACACAGTAAATTTCAACTCGATTAAAAAATAAGGTTCTCATTGTAATGTGGACAATTTATAATTATATATGTTCATGTATTATTTTTAATTGAGATTAAATATCTTATATCAATTGATCTGGTATTTATAATATATACTTATCTTTCATATCTTTAATCTTTTTAAGTTCCTCTACATCACTTCATCCTTTGTATTCGCCAGTCAATTAACCGATTTAAGGGAAACAATGTATTTTAATTTATTTTTCGGTTAATTATTGAGACCTTTTTGTATTTATTTATTTTTTGTAAATTATTTTTAAATTTTCTATTATTCATATCCTCATTTTTATTAAAATGTCTCTTTCTTCATGATTTAGGTTAATTGTAATTTATTGTGGTATGAGGGGTTGGGTATTAGGTTTATGTTTATGGGTATGAGGTTGTCATTAGTTCATTGTAATAGGGATTTTATTTTTTTAATTCATAAGCTTAACATAATGTTTGACAATATGTCGATGTATTAATATTATAAATCAAATAAAATAGATGATTTTTACACTTTTCCAGCTGTAAATTAGGCAATTTTACATATTTTGGGTTTTTACTACACGATTTTGCACGTTTTTCGGATTTTTACTGCACGAAGATTCGGTCTCTAGTTATAACTATTATACATAAAACAAAAAATTCAAGAGAAGTTGGTTGGGATGTTTAGTCAAACAATCAATGTTATTTGACTGAATACCCCAAACAACTTTTCTTCAATCTACTTGTATCTATGGCAGTCAATTATTAATCCACTATCATAAAATAAAATATATGCCCTCAACTAGTAATTTTATTTTATATCGTGTATTTTCACTATATAGTCTACCATATAATATATTTTACGTGATTTTTACTAATCTTTATCAAGCATGTCCTGTTTAAAAAACCTTTTCATCCTAGGAAAACATGATTTTTTTATTAAAGACAAAATTAACAATAAAAACCTATTAGTCAGGCGCGAGTCAATTCTCACTTCCACAGTATTATATTCGTACTCTTGCCTAGGTATAATAATTAAAACTCACAAACAAGATAAAATATGCTTCTGTTCGAATTCGAAGGTTGTGAGGGTCTGCCTAATAGAATTCGCAAGGCACGCCTATTATTACTTGATTATTATCTCGACAAACTTATGGAGTAAAGCAAGGAGCGGTTGATATACGCTGGTTTTTGACCGAAGATAACTGTTGTTTGTCAAGATCGATCTTGGCCATTCTTCAAGTCTACAGTGTAAGATAAAATATTACCATTAACAATTAAGACGATAAGTCATCGCTAGACCAAAATTTAGATGGTCGGATTGACTAGTAAGTGATGCCAGGAAAATAGTATAAAATGACTGGTGATTGGTATTGATGGAAAACAGGGTACGCGTGTGGGTTATAGCGCTGCAATTATCATTAACTACTATTATAATTAATATGTCAGCAAAATAAGTTTGACAATGGGAAATGATATTTATAATATTTTTTTTTTCTATTTCTGAAAAGGTGCTGCGTTGAACAAACTACTTAATGACAACTGGAAAGCGATACTTGCAGCTTTTACACCATCTATGGAAGGCGTTGTCCAGCAGAGGTTCACCGAAGCCTTCAGTCCACTCTTCAAGCACTTACCTTACGAAGAAATACTTCCTCCTTACTAAGTTGAACGAACTTATTTATTGTTAGGAAATACGATATATTTATATTGTTTGTCTATTATCGTTATCAACACTGCAGTTGTGATTTGATACTTTCGTTTGTTAAAAAATAAATTTGTTTTCCTTTTTTTTTATTTAATGTTGTCGATCATTAGCAGTTACTTTATTCTATCGATAAAAGCTTTAATTATTCTTGCATAAATTCGAAATTTTATATATCTACATTTCATATTAAAAACACACACAAAAAAGTGGAAAATGGTTTTACAAAGTATAGAATTTTAAAATGAACTTTTCAATATTTATAATTCGATGTATTAGTTTTCAACGTAGACATTGCAGTCATGAATATCGAATATTCAGTTCTTAAGATAAATACTTGAAAATATTCTCCACAAAATATTGATTATAAGACAGTAAAATAAAGATAAATAAATTGTTTTTACATATGGAAAGCAGAAGTTACGAACGCCTGGAGCTGATTTCTCTGTAACCTGTTTTAGAAGTTAACGGTTATAGGAGTGTTCATTGTGAACCATTGATGGACAATAACGCCTTCCTTCTATTATCTAGGTCTCAATGAGGGAGTAATTACGTTAGAGCCGAACAATACATAACTGAAACAATGATTATTGAAACGTTAGTATGTTTTACGCACCTGCTTTCTCAATTTCCTTTTATGATCTTTTTTCTTTTAAATGATTTATTTCTTACAAAAATAAATTATTTGAAAAATATTCGAAAAATAAATGGTATTTGGGGTTCGGAGATCCCTCTGGGGAACACCCAGTCTCTATAAGGAGGGTATCCTTAATAAAATAATTAATTAAGAGGAAAAGCCTGGTGGTTGAGAATGATCTCAGTCAAATCACTTCCTTGCACAACTGCTTACTGTTGACCAATTGACCACGACATTACCTTTCCTACATAGTCCTGAACCCAAGACTCTTCATGGGTTATGGTGGTAAAAGTTTTTTATAAAATAAAAAAATATGTAATAAAAATAAAAGGCTTAGAGAATCCGAAGGTTCGATGGCAACACCACCAATCGCTTATTACACACCTCCCTCCACCATTCCCTGTCCATACCCAGTCCCTTTAGATCCTCTTTAATGCAATCTTCCTCCCTTCACTTCGGTCTACCCCTCAGATGTTTACTATTTAGTACAGCAAATATTAATCTTTTAGAAATTCTTTCATTGCTTTCCCTACAATTTCGTAAGACCATTTTATTTTTTATTTTTTGGAAAAAAATATGAATGAAACTTTATTTTTATTTATATGGTATTGAGAGAAAAAGAAGTGTGCATGATGCACTGGGACATTTCAATCCAGTAAGAGGCAGGTTTAAGTGCCATTGATTGATAGGATCTGGTGAAATTAGGTTTGTCCAGTTATAGCCCAGGTTGACTGTAGTCTAGTAATAGCCTGGACATAAGAATAGGTTAAGTGATAAGTAAGTTTTAGATGTGCCCTTTGCTATGTTTTATCCCACAAAAGGGATGACATTAAAGTTTGGTTATGGTTATGGTTGGATGACATGTTTTGGTGTGTGAAATTACTTCGGGATGCCACTAGATAATTATTGATGATAATTATCCAGAATTATTTAATAAAAGTTAATAATAAAAGATTATTTGAATCTACAATATACTGATACTAAAAAACTTATTTTATTCTTATGTTTGATGAACTATATATACAAATTATATTTACAAGAAATTAAATACATGATTCAATGAATTTAATCAATGACTGTGATATCAGATGGACTGTTTTGAGAGTTGTATTGCCATGAAATATTCTAATATTGGTAAATTTATTATTGGGAATAAAACTTAGTTATTGTTTATGAAGTGATATAGTTTGTAGGTTTCATCGCTGCATCTGCTGATCCAAGGTCATCTCGTCAAGCCCAGGTCCAAACTCCGCCAAGGAGTACAACTCCACGGCCTTTCTCTCAAGACCATCTTCAGTCCTCAAGGCCGAAAAAAGATATAAGACCCCTTTTCTTACTTCTCGGGAGATTTTATACAAATGTTCAGGGTGGGACAAGGATAATTTTCATTGGTTCTTAGCTTCATCCTATAACTTCACAATAACTGGTCACACCCTAAAAGCAACCAATTACTTTAAGGAACGACTTTCCCTAGGCCTCTCGGTCCTTGCAGGAACCTGATGTGTTTGGTGTCAGCATATTCCAACTATGTTTTCGGCACCTCATAACAATTTTAAAAGCTTATTAGCTATGTTCAATACATATCATCTTGTATAGTGGTATAGAAGTGCAAGACAGTGACAAAGAAAAAAAAATCATAGAACCTTTATGTATTTAATTAAATAAAGTAGGCCCGAAAACTTTTCTATAATTGGACTACAAAATAAGATCATAAATCATCAAAAAATTCAGTTCATTAACTCTCATTCTTTTCCTCGTGTCACTATTACATTGCACATCCTTCAGATTTACAGAGTGAATCTCCTTGAACTAAATAATCTATACAGAGATAAAATAAAACTCAATTATGGTGAAACAAAGATAACAACCAACAAAACTATTCATAGATGTAATAAACAAAAAAATACTAAAATTAAACACAGAAAGGACCTAAGGATATAATAAATAATTGAATAAGATTACTAGTTACAAAACCGTGTAATAAATATGGTATCTTTATTCACTATGGATCAATCTACATAACAGTAGAACAAATAAAAAAAATCATTAGGTAAGATAAAAAATGTATTTCTAAATAATTAAAACATTTCTTGATTAATAGGTTTTATTTAAATTATAAAATTTATAAAAGTAACAAAATAAAATTATACAATTAATTGCAATATGGAATAACTTTTTCAAATTTATCACCTAATGGAAGAAATGTTCTGAAAGCTTTCAGTTATATTTCTTGTTTGTCAAATAATGCATGGAATATCAAATTTTCTGAAATAAAAATGAGTTTGAATTAAAATTGGTTAATTTCTTTAGAAAAAAATATAAGTGTATCAAACAGATCAATTTAATGTAATTTAACACAGATTTTTTTTTTTTCTCTTCTCACTACTTTTAAAATTGACATTTTTATTTTAAGTAAGTCTAGAAAACTTGTGGGAGTCATTGAATATGAACAATAAAATATAATAATTTATAAAAATGTTGTGGAATCACAATGTAGTTTTGAGAAAAAAGATGAGGAAAGTGTCCAGGATGGTGGTTATAAAAGAACTTAAAATAGTGAAAAACTATTCTTTAATTTATATAATAAAATAGTTTTTCACTATTTTAGGTTTTTTTATGACCGCCACTCCCGACCATCTGTTTTCTAAATATTATACTATGGTCAACCATTGAATATTGAATAATGTAGTTTTACAGTAAAATATAAAAATGAATTTGTTAAATATAGCTACTTTATATCAAATGGTTTATTTGATGATATTTTAGTACTGACTTGAAAACAACTGAACTATCCATTTTCCTTGACCAATCGGAGAAAAGCCAAAATGTTCCGAAGGATTGAGGTCAATATTCCAAGCAGGTTCACCTTTGATTCTCACTGGGTTAGCTTTGTAGCCTACTGAATTACTCCTACCGTCTACTTCCCAGTTAATAATGTTATCTTCATTCTTTCCATGCGCTTTGTAGAAAACAGATGCTAATGTCTTATCTATAAATATAAATTAACAATTTAATACATTAATATTTAGTCTAACTCCTTAGACCATCACAAGCTTCGTAAACAGAAAAATGCCAAAATTGAATATATTCTTATATAAAAGAAGAATAGTTGGGGTGTTCAGTCAAAAAGGAAGGCAAAAATAAATGATAATATTTATTTTTTACATATGCCGACGTTTCGACCTGAAGTTCAGGCCTTCATCAGGACTAAGAAAATAACCAGATAACAAGGTATGAGAAAAATAAGTAATGATGGTAAAAAAGATAATAAAAAATAAAAATAAAAAAAAAAATTATTAGAAAAATAAAATAGATAAATATAAAGTAAAATGAAATTGTTAGAATAATGACTAAGAACTAAGAGATAAATAATAAAAACCGTTACAAAGTGTGGAATGATGAAGTAGGCATAATCAAAAAGGGGTGACAAAAGTGTTACAATGGGAATCTTAGAATAAAATGCAAAACATAAAATGTAAAACATAAAAAAGAAATATAAAGTTATATAAGAAATGAAAATAAATAGTAAAATTAAAAAATTGAGAATGGAGTAGTTAGATAGAAAATTGAGATATTGTAAAGTCTATCAAGATGTACAGACAATGTATAATATAATAAAGAGTTAAAAACAGAGAAAAGGAATGAAAGGAAGGAGGGAAGAAATTGAGAAAGCTGAAATAAGAAAGAAATAAAAGAAGTACTACCTGTCTCCTTAAGTGTGGCAGGGAGAATAAGTCATAAACAAGGGAGGGGGAGAGAGAAGAGATGTGTAGGTGGCGTCAGCTCTAACGGTTATCCGACGAAGTTTGAACTGAAGTGCTGGAAGCCTAAGTAGGTACGAGAGATATATTATTCAGAAAAATTATGGAAAATTGAACGAAAGTTAATAGAAGGTGAAAGAAAAATTCAAAAGAAAGATAACTATTGAGTAATAAGGAAGAAAAATTGAAATAAAAATATATCATATATACATACATATATATATATATATATACACACGTATATATATATATATATATATATATATATATATATATATATATATATATATATATATATATATATATGTATATATATATACTTATATATACATATACACACATACATACATATATATATATATATATATATATATAAGGTTTAAGGTTTATAATATAAGGAATATATATATATAAGGTTATTTTCTTAGCCCTGATGAAGGCCTGAACTTCAGATCGAAACGTCAGCATATGTAAAAAATAAATATTATCATTTATTTTTGCCTTCCTTTTTGACTGAACACCCCAACTATTCTTCTCTTCATTATCCAGGACAGTCAACCAATTACCAATTATATTCTTATATAAATTAACAAATTAAATTAATAAATAAAGTAAATTAATCACCCGGTTCAGAAATCCACTTGTACATAACATTCCACGTTCCTAACTTTGTGTCCCAACTCCAACTAAAAACTGATTCAGGACA